AAGAGATAAGACCGGGAGGCATGCGGATGGGAACCACGTTTCATCAACGGAGCCGGCCCACACTCCTTCACAGGCAAACACAAGCACGCTGTATTTGGGGAATCAACCGCACACAAGGCGGTGGCTGGACCGTAGTCCGCTCCACACTGAGTGCATGGAACCGCTCTTTGAGCCTAGCACGGCCACAAGAACCGTGCACCCCGTCCCCTCCAGCAACGACCAACTGTCTCCTGGAGCCAGTATGAACGATGTAGTGGGTAATAGACAGGTAGGCACCTTGTCAACATACACATCAAGCGCAACCATACCAGGGATATCAAACAACAGCCATTCAATTTAAACGACAAGCTGAAATAAAATAAATCCAATAATGCATACAGATACGGTGGCATAACTCTTCGCTAAATTACCATATGAAGTAAGTTGGTCAGCAACAAATCCGTGATAAGTAAGAAATGTCCACAAGTTACTTAAAATGCTACAAACGCAACAAAATTACCGAAGATAAGCGCAATTAGTGTAAGCAACGTGGCCAGTTAATAGAACATTATTCAGGGAGGCAGAACAAACCAAATAAAGCGGAATGAAATTTATCCAGCTTAAAAAGACCTAGTTTAAGTGTAAGTTGGTTTAGCCCAACTGCGGTGAAGAAGCATCAAGAATGCAACATCAGCCTCAGCATGGGGCACACATACATACATGGTTGGCGGCATCCGGTTTCGGATTTGCCTGTCACTGTGGCAAGCCACAGGACGCCTGCGCCTACAGAGGGACCATGGATGGCTTGCGCTGCACCACCCACAGCTCCAACCACATACCCCATATCCAGTGTAAACCCGAAGGAATAAGACCGGGAGGCATGCGGATGGGAACCACGTTTCATCAACGGAGCCGGCCCACACTCCTTCACAGGCAAACACAAGCACGCTGTATTTGGGGAATCAACCGCACACAAGGCGGTGGCTGGACCGTAGTCCGCTCCACACTGAGTGCATGGAACCGCTCTTTGAGCCTAGCACGGCCACAAGAACCGTGCACCCCGTCCCCTCCAGCAACGACCAACTGTCTCCTGGAGCCAGTATGAACGATGTAGTGGGTAATAGACAGGTAGGCACCTTGTCAACATACACATCAAGCGCAACCATACCAGGGATATCAAACAACAGCCATTCAATTTAAACGACAAGCTGAAATAAAATAAATCCAATAATGCATACAGATACGGTGGCATAACTCTTCGCTAAATTACCATATGAAGTAAGTTGGTCAGCAACAAATCCGTGATAAGTAAGAAATGTCCACAAGTTACTTAAAATGCTACAAACGCAACAAAATTACCGAAGATAAGCGCAATTAGTGTAAGCAACGTGGCCAGTTAATAGAACATTATTCAGGGAGGCAGAACAAACCAAATAAAGCGGAATGAAATTTATCCAGCTTAAAAAGACCTAGTTTAAGTGTAAGTTGGTTTAGCCCAACTGCGGTGAAGAAGCATCAAGAATGCAACATCAGCCTCAGCATGGGGCACACATACATACATGGTTGGCGGCATCCGGTTTCGGATTTGCCTGTCACTGTGGCAAGCCACAGGACGCCTGCGCCTACAGAGGGACCATGGATGGCTTGCGCTGCACCACCCACAGCTCCAACCACATACCCCATATCCAGTGTAAACCCGAAGGAATAAGACCGGGAGGCATGCGGATGGGAACCACGTTTCATCAACGGAGCCGGCCCACACTCCTTCACAGGCAAACACAAGCACGCTGTATTTGGGGAATCAACCGCACACAAGGCGGTGGCTGGACCGTAGTCCGCTCCACACTGAGTGCATGGAACCGCTCTTTGAGCCTAGCACGGCCACAAGAACCGTGCACCCCGTCCCCTCCAGCAACGACCAACTGTCTCCTGGAGCCAGTATGAACGATGTAGTGGGTAATAGACAGGTAGGCACCTTGTCAACATACACATCAAGCGCAACCATACCAGGGATATCAAACAACAGCCATTCAATTTAAACGACAAGCTGAAATAAAATAAATCCAATAATGCATACAGATACGGTGGCATAACTCTTCGCTAAATTACCATATGAAGTAAGTTGGTCAGCAACAAATCCGTGATAAGTAAGAAATGTCCACAAGTTACTTAAAATGCTACAAACGCAACAAAATTACCGAAGATAAGCGCAATTAGTGTAAGCAACGTGGCCAGTTAATAGAACATTATTCAGGGAGGCAGAACAAACCAAATAAAGCGGAATGAAATTTATCCAGCTTAAAAAGACCTAGTTTAAGTGTAAGTTGGTTTAGCCCAACTGCGGTGAAGAAGCATCAAGAATGCAACATCAGCCTCAGCATGGGGCACACATACATACATGGTTGGCGGCATCCGGTTTCGGATTTGCCTGTCACTGTGGCAAGCCACAGGACGCCTGCGCCTACAGAGGGACCATGGATGGCTTGCGCTGCACCACCCACAGCTCCAACCACATACCCCATATCCAGTGTAAACCCGAAGGAATAAGACCGGGAGGCATGCGGATGGGAACCACGTTTCATCAACGGAGCCGGCCCACACTCCTTCACAGGCAAACACAAGCACGCTGTATTTGGGGAATCAACCGCACACAAGGCGGTGGCTGGACCGTAGTCCGCTCCACACTGAGTGCATGGAACCGCTCTTTGAGCCTAGCACGGCCACAAGAACCGTGCACCCCGTCCCCTCCAGCAACGACCAACTGTCTCCTGGAGCCAGTATGAACGATGTAGTGGGTAATAGACAGGTAGGCACCTTGTCAACATACACATCAAGCGCAACCATACCAGGGATATCAAACAACAGCCATTCAATTTAAACGACAAGCTGAAATAAAATAAATCCAATAATGCATACAGATACGGTGGCATAACTCTTCGCTAAATTACCATATGAAGTAAGTTGGTCAGCAACAAATCCGTGATAAGTAAGAAATGTCCACAAGTTACTTAAAATGCTACAAACGCAACAAAATTACCGAAGATAAGCGCAATTAGTGTAAGCAACGTGGCCAGTTAATAGAACATTATTCAGGGAGGCAGAACAAACCAAATAAAGCGGAATGAAATTTATCCAGCTTAAAAAGACCTAGTTTAAGTGTAAGTTGGTTTAGCCCAACTGCGGTGAAGAAGCATCAAGAATGCAACATCAGCCTCAGCATGGGGCACACATACATACATGGTTGGCGGCATCCGGTTTCGGATTTGCCTGTCACTGTGGCAAGCCACAGGACGCCTGCGCCTACAGAGGGACCATGGATGGCTTGCGCTGCACCACCCACAGCTCCAACCACATACCCCATATCCAGTGTAAACCCGAAGGAATAAGACCGGGAGGCATGCGGATGGGAACCACGTTTCATCAACGGAGCCGGCCCACACTCCTTCACAGGCAAACACAAGCACGCTGTATTTGGGGAATCAACCGCACACAAGGCGGTGGCTGGACCGTAGTCCGCTCCACACTGAGTGCATGGAACCGCTCTTTGAGCCTAGCACGGCCACAAGAACCGTGCACCCCGTCCCCTCCAGCAACGACCAACTGTCTCCTGGAGCCAGTATGAACGATGTAGTGGGTAATAGACAGGTAGGCACCTTGTCAACATACACATCAAGCGCAACCATACCAGGGATATCAAACAACAGCCATTCAATTTAAACGACAAGCTGAAATAAAATAAATCCAATAATGCATACAGATACGGTGGCATAACTCTTCGCTAAATTACCATATGAAGTAAGTTGGTCAGCAACAAATCCGTGATAAGTAAGAAATGTCCACAAGTTACTTAAAATGCTACAAACGCAACAAAATTACCGAAGATAAGCGCAATTAGTGTAAGCAACGTGGCCAGTTAATAGAACATTATTCAGGGAGGCAGAACAAACCAAATAAAGCGGAATGAAATTTATCCAGCTTAAAAAGACCTAGTTTAAGTGTAAGTTGGTTTAGCCCAACTGCGGTGAAGAAGCATCAAGAATGCAACATCAGCCTCAGCATGGGGCACACATACATACATGGTTGGCGGCATCCGGTTTCGGATTTGCCTGTCACTGTGGCAAGCCACAGGACGCCTGCGCCTACAGAGGGACCATGGATGGCTTGCGCTGCACCACCCACAGCTCCAACCACATACCCCAATATCCAGTGTAAACCCGAAGGAATAAGACCGGGAGGCATGCGGATGGGAACCACGTTTCATCAACGGAGCCGGCCCACACTCCTTCACAGGCAAACACAAGCACGCTGTATTTGGGGAATCAACCGCACACAAGGCGGTGGCTGGACCGTAGTCCGCTCCACACTGAGTGCATGGAACCGCTCTTTGAGCCTAGCACGGCCACAAGAACCGTGCACCCGTCCCCTCCAGCAACGACCAACTGTCTCCTGGAGCCAGTATGAACGATGTAGTGGGTAATAGACAGGTAGGCACCTTGTCAACATACACATCAAGCGCAACCATACCAGGGATATCAAACAACAGCCATTCAATTTAAACGACAAGCTGAAATAAAATAAATCCAATAATGCATACAGATACGGTGGCATAACTCTTCGCTAAATTACCATATGAAGTAAGTTGGTCAGCAACAAATCCGTGATAAGTAAGAAATGTCCACAAGTTACTTAAAATGCTACAAACGCAACAAAATTACCGAAGATAAGCGCAATTAGTGTAAGCAACGTGGCCAGTTAATAGAACATTATTCAGGGAGGCAGAACAAACCAAATAAAGCGGAATGAAATTTATCCAGCTTAAAACGACCTAGTTTAAGTGTAAGTTGGTTTAGCCCAACTGCGGTGAAGAAGCATCAAGAATGCAACATCAGCCTCAGCATGGGGCACACATACATACATGGTTGGCGGCATCCGGTTTCGGATTTGCCTGTCACTGTGGCAAGCCACAGGACGCCTGCGCCTACAGAGGGACCATGGATGGCTTGCGCTGCACCACCCACAGCTCCAACCACATACCCCATATCCAGTGTAAACCCGAAGGAATAAGACCGGGAGGCATGCGGATGGGAACCACGTTTCATCAACGGGCCGGCCCACACTCCTTCACAGGCAAACACAAGCACGCTGTATTTGGGGAATCAACCGCACACAAGGCGGTGGCTGGACCGTAGTCCGCTCCACACTGAGTGCATGGAACCGCTCTTTGAGCCTAGCACGGCCACAAGAACCGTGCACCCCGTCCCCCCAGCAACGACCAACTGTCTCCTGGAGCCAGTATGGACGAGGTAGTGGGTAATAGACAAGTAGGCACCTTGTCAACATGCACATCAAGCGCAGCCACACCGGGGATAGCACGCAACAGCCAATCACTTGAAACGACAAAATGAAATAACATAAGTCCAGTAATGCATACAGATACGGTGGCATAACTCTTCGCTAAGTTAACATATTAAGTAAGTTGGTTAGCAATGGATCCGTGATAAGGAAAAAATGTCCACAAGTTACTCAAAAATGCTACAAATGCAACAAAATTACCGAAGATAAGCGCAATTAGCGTAAGCGACGTGGCCAGCTAATAGAAGACTATTCAGATAGGCAAAACTAACCAAATAAACTGGAATGAAATATATGCAGCTTAAAGAGACCTAGTTTAAATGTTATTTGGTTTAGCCCAACTGCGGTGAAGAAGCATCAAGAATGCAACATCAGCCTCAGCATATATATATATATACACATTTCAGATGGTGGGTGTGACATTTTTGTCTAATGGTTTTCTTTCTAATATTATTGTCTATCTGAACTATCCTCCATACACTTACAACGTGGCTTAAGCCAATAGTATTTAAGTTTGAGAACATTTTCGTATTTGTGGCTTGTCAGTAAAATATACGTTCCGAACTCGTGAACTTATCGCAGAATTGTTCGTAACCATTTTTATACGCTCATTTGGTAAAGCGTTAGGACTCCGTATCTGTAAGCATTGTCCTATTTAGAATATTATATCTTATAGTTGCAAGTGATTGGCTGTTGCTGGATATCCCCGGTGTGGCTGCGCTTATGTGCATGTTGACAAGTTGGCTACCTTGGCATGTTAACCGAGGACATAACCGCCCTTGTGCACAGAAGCCGTTGGTCAATGCGGGACCAGCAGATTCCCATCCCTGAGTAGGAAACCTCTGCTTAACTTGCACCGATGCCCTCTACATCTGCCTCCCCGCAGGTGATGTTAACGCGTGAGGAAAGTTTTTCCGTGCCAACCGGCTGTTTGGGGACAACCGTTGCCTTGACCAGTCTGGGTACAATGGCCTGCCTTGAGGCCTTCCTTGGCTTTCCTCGCTTATTGCAACACGAAACGGGACGCTGGTTGAGCTAAAGCGTATTTTGGCCCTGGATCCTCTGTCCTGAAACTTTGAGGTTTCTAAAACCCTGGATTGTTACTCGGCTTTTGTTCGCTGGACGTTAACTAGCTCCTCGCCGCTTGCGCGCCACTAATCGCTTGCATATGCGCACTTACTTTGAATTCTTGTGAGTTGATCGTTTCGGTGGAACTTGTCTGCGTGAACTCGGTTGCTTGGTTGTTGTGCCTCTGCAGTTTTGCAAGGAACTTGTCGTCACATGCTTGAAGTTCAAGTTGACTGTTTCGCCCGTTAGTACTTGGTGAGTCCATTTCACTACATACGTAGACGCTTGGTATTTCCGAATGGTCCTTCCGTCGATTGCATAACTGGTCACCTTAAACCGGTTCACAACTGTTGCTCATCTCTCACATTTATTTGGTTTTCTAACTCTTCTGTTGAGTTGGTTGTGAATGCAGTCCTAACGCTTCGTGTCCTTCCGACGACTAAATTGTTATTTATGGCAAAGCCGCGTATCTCAAAGCACGTACAGACTTAACCGGGGGCCTGCAATGCGGTATTTGTTGCCTTTGGTTCTTAGTGGACTGCACTAGTTTGCATCTGATGCAGTATGCACTTATGGCTAGTGGCAAGGGCATCCCGCGCAGTTGTGGTACCTGCTGTGTGCGTAACACTGAGCCTTAGACGCCAGTAACTGGCAGTCCGATGTCTCTGGAAAGCCTGATAGGTGCTGTGTTCGCCGGACGGGAAATTTGGTTACTTTGTTAAGTTTCTGGACTGCGTACGTCTCCGTCAGGAGACAGCTGAAGATGAAATTTGCCGAACCCAGCGCCTGTTTGCTCACAATCTGATGTCAGTACACACTTTATTAGCAACCTCGTTGGCAACGAAGCCTCAGGTACCGTGGTTGATTCGTCTTTTAGCCAGGGAGTCAATGGGACTTCTGTCCTTGTCAAAGTAAAGGGGAAGCAGGTTAAAAGTGGCAACACCCAAGGCGGATTTACCATATCCGTAGGGCGCCGTATCCCCTTTCCTCTCCATTTCCACTGCAGCTGTCATCCAAGGTGGACTCGTTTCTGGTGCTTGAGTGTAAGGATTCAGACGCCAAATTCAAAAGCGTTGCATAAGGAATCCCCGTTCTGAAACCCGTATGCTAATTGCAGTGTTATTTTTAGTATCGCCACCAAGTCATGCCGTTTTTCTAAAGGGGCGTATGCTAGATGGTCTTCATTTCTTTACGATATGCATTAAAATACTCTAGTGCTGGACTTTTCCGGCGCCACTGGGCGAAAGCTCACCGGACGCCGTAGCTTGTCGACCGAGAAGGTTGTTGCGTGTTGCTCGGTCTGCTCCAGAGATGCGCAAAACACTACGTTTTCCCTTTAAGCTCAAAGGCACTAATGTCACGTTTCATTTAGACCACGCATTGACGGAGACGTTAAAATTGCGGGTGGCTGCACGATATTAAAGCTTGCCGTGACGAAAGAGCTAAGACATCTTAGTTGGTTTACGAGTGCACTTCCTTCCTGCCAGAACCGGTTCTGACGGCGTACCATCCCGGGCTCACGATACCAAATACATACCGGTGAGCTTCAATATTTCGAGTAACCTGCGAAAAATGTTCTACCAAGGCAACGCTTTCTTTGACAACTGCGGTGCAAATGTACTTGCGTTCACCGATACACGGTTTCCACCGACCCACGTAGGGGCGGGCGTCCTCGCGGTATACTCAGACCACGCGCGCCTGGTGTTGGTCGCGTGGAAGCAAAGCACTGTTACGGCGCACAGCTGGCGATTTAATTTTTTATCTTTTATGTCCACGGACGTCACGCCGACTGAAGTGTGTTTAGCGGGCTACGCGCTAGTGTGGTGTGTTCGCCATCGCAATGGAGCTGGACCTCGCCGTGGTGCGATGGCTTGCTTGCTTCAGAGATCTATTGTGCTATGCTGGGCGGTGATGTTGCACCTTCAGAGCCAATCATACCAGATTGGTCAATGGTTAATTGCCAGACAAACGCAGCCTCCAGGTTTGTGTTAGAACGAGGTCGGTCCTGATTCCTCAAAACGGACTATTTGTTGCTCAACGACAAACCCGCTGCTCTGCGGTCAGGTTTTGAGCCAATGGCTGTTGTTGAGAACCCTAATCGTTCCCCTGTCAAGGCCTAGGCAACATGACAGTAGCCCTCCCCCGCAACACATTGAATGAAAGGGAAGATCGGGAAAAGTAAATGCTGAGCATGCCTGGCTTCCACTGCTTTTGCTGCAGCTGTAACAATCTCTCGGGGAACACATTTATGCAACGACGTGTCATCCAGCCAATGTACTCGAGGTGATGGAAAGGACACGGGTTTTTCTTCCTGATATCTACATTTCTATGAACTACATCGATACCTACTGCTTAGCTAAGACCCGCCTGCAAGACTGCAGTTCTGTGCTAACTTTGGGATCTTTTTACGGGACACTGGCACCACATTCTCATTGCGCCTGTCCGCTGACGATACAGCTTCGAAGTTCGAAGTATGTTTTATTGGCGGCGGTACTATGACACAGCCGTGCCGCCAACCTGGGCTCCATAAACGCCGGTCGCGAACGTCTGCGCAGCCAACAATAT